AAGTAAATCCTAGTTGAAGTTAGTTCCTCTGATTTTACTTTTATTTGTGCAGCCTACTGTAACAAACAATACTGTGCGGTTCGGAATAAAATGTTAAAAGTCATAGTCGCGCAAAAATTTCTACTCTTCCTGCTGCTAAGGCAGAAGTACCGCAGCCTAAGGTATTTGCGCAAAGCATTTGCATATCAGAGAAATCTTGAAGAACAGCTAGAATCTGTCAATAAAGCTAAATCAAGTCCTTACAATTTTTTTCCAAAGATGTTGAGACTGTGAGCAATGATTAACGCTGTGTTGCAACCAAGTATATAGAAGAAGGATTTTAATCGTTTTGAATGGTTTTAGGCGCGTACATTATTTTTTTTTTCGGAGTGCATTCAAAGTTTTGATCTCATCATAGTGTGAATTGTTCATTCTGCCATATTTTACATTTCGCTCGGCGGAAAATCATTTTGAGTGCTTATACATAGCTCAGTTCTGACCTTATAGTGTTAAATAAGCCTTTTTAGAGCGTACTACGGCATTAACTCCTTCAATTCCTTCAGAGTCAAGGTGACGTCATTGATATCGACACCGCAATGGAACAACAATACATGTTTACATAAAACTTCATTTATGCGACTTCCACACGAACATCATCCTCTCGACTGAGAGAAGATCTCGCTGTACGAGTATCATCTTCCAGACTTAGGAAAAATAGCGTTCCATTCACGATAATGGGTGAGTAGACAGCATTGTCAAGCGCGTCAACTCTTTTTCTAGAAAAGTGAGATGATCAGAGATAATCAAAAGGTAAAAGTAAGAAAATTTACCTTAGTTCATCTGCCGAAATAGGATTTCCTACCAAAGGTTTTCGGCGAATTGTTGAAGGATAATCCTGAAGGATTGGAATGTTGATCTGTGGGAGATTTGAGCACCTAATAATGGAGTTGAAGATACCTACCTGGTAGTTCCTATTTGGGTTGACAACTAAAAAGTTGCGCAAATCCAGGTCCATATACTGAGAGGGAATCTAAAATAACCATGTTTAGGTTATCCTGTGTGTGCCACATGGATTAATCAAAATCCTTGTAGTATGGTGATAACCC